AGCAGAGAGAGCAGAACGTTTGAGATGAAATTAACAGATTCTGCAGAGTGGGAGAATAGAGATAGAATGAAGCAGGAAGGATGAAAAAGGGGTCCCTATGTCCTCCAGAAGTCTAAACCTATAGCAGCATAACTACAGAGATAGATCAGGATAACCTGAGCCAATCTAACTATAAGCTTTATCAAAAGACTGCCTCACGGCCTAAAACTGGTAGTTGGTTCCAGATCACCATAAGAAAATTTGCTTGGCAATATATTGTCCCAGAAAGTATTGAGATAAATAATAATATATTCCTTGGGTTCAAATCTAGGGTGTCCACAGGGTTGTAGAAGGTATTGCATGAAATCAGCAAAAAGTATTTAAAGGTAATAAATGTGATCTTAAGAAATACTTTTATTTTAAATGTCTACCTAACTGAACTTTTTTTTCCCTCTATTTGTCTTAAATACCTCCTAAATATCTCCTGAAAAATACAGGGATTAAGCTTACCTACATTATATATATTTTTTTCTGTCTGAGAAGGACCTCAGACAGCAGTGACATCACACAGACATCAGTCAGTGTGCTTAAGTGCTCAAACTGTGGTCAAGCCTTAACAAAAAAAAAAAAAAACTGACTGTCAGTTTATGCTCCAACCATAGATCTTATATGCTCTGAACTAACAACCCCCCCACCTACCTCATGCTGACATGTGTCCTCGGACGTCAGAGCGCCGTGTCTCACTGCGTTGATCGGTGTGCCAGAAACGAGTATTTATACCAAACTGCATTAAACATGCTGCTCACAGCTGGCAGTCAGAATCACCTGCAGCGTCTTTGCTGCTCTCTCGCCCTCACTGACAGGTGTGCAGTGCGTAAAGAAATGGAGCAAGTGGTCCAACTGCAACTTCTTTCTTATGTTTTTGAAGGCAAACTCATACAATGCCACGAAAATGTTGAAAATTGGCAGTTGTCTAGAAATGTTGAAATATGTACGCTGAACTAAGGATCCCAAGGTGTGTGTGAAGCTCCCAGTCTGCTCACATGTGGGACAGACTTAAATACTAGTGGTTAAAACACTAAAATAGTCAGTTCTGCACAACTACGGCTAGTTTCAGTTCTAGCACCCTAAGAAAGCCAAAACTGACATCATTAAATTATTGCTTTATGTTTTTTATAAAGAATAATTTCAGAATTTGGTTAAAAACTACCGTAAGCTAAGCTGTGAAAAGAAAAATCTATTCAATGCCAATCCAGAAATTAGGAATTTCTCTTTTTGTTAAATGAATGAATCCCTTTAGCTGCACATTTCTGCAAACCTGTTCTGTTTTGCTTTTTCCTCACTAATTTATTAAGATGGAACTAAAGAAAGTCTATAAAACAGCTTTGGTCATAGGTTAGTTTTAAATAACAATTGTTTCAGTGGATCAGCGTTTTCTTATTTTTTATAAGAAAGACAAAAAAAGGAGAAAATTATCCTTTAATTCAAATAACAATACTTGGTATAAAATTACCACACTGTAAATTAGTGGTTTTCAAAGCTTTTTGATGTCATATAAAAATCAGAACTGTATTAAAAAGGTATTAAATTTAACATTCTTGTATAAACTGGCTTGCTACTTCTCACAAGATCCTCATGCGACACTAATAATTCAATAATTGAACTTTATTGATCTAACCCATCCCTTTGGGGAGCAGTGGGCTGCCACTGTGCAGCGCCCGGGGAGCAGTGTAGGGTTAAGGTTTCTTACTCAGGGACCCAGAGTGTCAGTCTTTTGGAATTCAAACCCAGAACCTCTGGGACCTAAGCCCAACGCTCTAACCACTAGGCCACCTCTCCCCTAAGGGGAAGGGTGAGTGGAGAACGATTGAATCCATTTGTTTTCCGGACTTTATAGTTAAAGAAAAGGGAGTCGCAAAGAAAACAATCATACAAGCAAAGAGAATGTAAGCCGTTGAGCTCAGTTAAATTTATCATGTAAATTTAATAGATTTTTTCTTCATTGTGAAAGGCCCAGTGCAGATCAGATGCAGCAATAATTTGATAGACCTAAAGCAAATATGAACCTTTACACAAAC